TACCATCTGGTTTTCTTGTAAGTAGGGCACCCAGGAAGGCAATTCTGTCTTGGGATTCCTCTTCGCATGTGAATTTCATAGCCGAATGTACTTCATTGAATTCAGTAATTATTGTATTCCTATCAGAATCAATATCACAAAGAATGAAGTTTTCATCCATATAACAGCAATAAAATGAGAACCAGCCCTTTGTTTAATTACTATACACTAAATAATTGTCTACTTACATTATATTTGGAATGTTTTTGCTTATACTTTCCATCTATGACTTGAAATCATTGTAAAAAGTATGTTTAGAAGTTTTGTAAAATATAACTGATTTATTTAGGATGTGCGCAGTTGAAGAGAATCCAGGAGATAAAACGAGCTCGTCTTATCCCCAAAAAACATGTTCGTTCTTTCTTTATTCAAACTAATAAAATGAAACGGCTGCGTGAAATTATCATCACTAGATTGATAAATTTGTTTATATTGTATTAAAAGTGCTACTTATATTAGAGTAGAAATTTAAATGAGAATCTGATTGAAAAGTGAATATTTCTCCACTCAGTTTTTCTTTCTTTTGAATATCGAAATGGGAAGTGTTTGTTTCTTCGCATGGCATTGCATTGTTTGTTCCATCGTCTTACTATCCTTAACCCTGGTAATATTTCTAACACTTTTCACCTTTCATTATACTTGTTACATAGTGGTTTTATTTATAAGACTATATGTATTGTATTGTTACCTTGGGTTCCCAGTGGAACATAGGGCTTCAACTGCACGTCTCCACTTGCTTCTGTCTTCTGCCGTACTTTTCACTTGCATCCATTTTAGTCAATACCGTTTCAACTCTTCTTCACACGATCTCCCCCATGTCACCCTTGGACGTCCCACTCGCCGCTTCCCTTTCGGGTTCCACTCGAGCATTGGCCTGACGCACGATGTCACCCAGTGGTCTCCTCAGCGAGTGTCCAATCCATCTCCACTTTCTCCTGCATATTTGTTGGGCGATTGGTTCTTGTTTTGTTTCTTCCTACATTTTCTTGTTTGTGATTCTTTCCGGCCCTCTGATCTTCAGTATAGAATGGAGACAGTTGTTGATAAAGGTCCGCAACAGGCTGTTGGAAATATTCTTTGTGACCCGCCAAGTTTCTGATCCGTATGAAAGAACTGACTTGAAGTTTGTATTGAAAATCCGAATTTAGCTGTTGATGCTGAGTGATGAGGATTTTCAGATTGGTTCTAGATTGATGAATGTGTTTCTCGCCTTCCTGACTCTCGATTTGACATCCTCGTCCGTTCCTCCTGTAGGTGAGACAATGCTCCCTAGATAAGTGAATGAAGTAACCTCTTTCTTAGACTGCCCTTCATTATTTTACTGATATTTCATTCTCAATCATACTGTAACTGTGGAAAACGAGCGACTTGGTAAAGAAATGTTTTTTGGAATTTGGTATCGTTTTACAGGGCAATTGTGTACACCTTTTCTTTAAAGCACCACTTGAACAGATCTTCCGTGTTGTGTTACTTCTGCCCTACATATTGTGTTTCTTTGTGTTGTTTCCACGTCACCCATGTATCTTCACAATGCTGTATCATTCGCTTTCTGTGATATCAAATATATCTCCTTGCTATCAGATATTTTCATGACGATGAACGTCTCTTTATATACTACTGATAAACTTTATCAGAAGCACACGTCAGAATACCGTATCTTCAATATATCTACTGCCCTCTCTCTTCCTCTCTCTGTCATCTTGGATTTTATTCACACCTTATCAGAATTACACTAAATTATTTTATTTTATTTGGATCCAGCTCACAGTAAAAGTTATCGACTCAGTAATGATAAACACTTGCATCTGTGATGAGTGTTCAGACAGTGAACTAGATAACTTTTGCTCTCATTTAAATATTGTTCTATGGATATGAAAATAAGTATTTGGTATGTTGACTGTACAACTGAACTACATATCTAATTATACACGTATTTTCAGATAAGTGCGTTCGTGTGAGACTTGGACTACACGAAATGAAATTGAATACCGTTCATTCTTCAACGTTTATTGTTCTTACTTAACATAAAATTATGAACTAATCGTAACGTAAAATATCCTTTCGTAGGCGGAGGCAAACGTGTAGACCTAGTTAAAATCTGATACAAAGACCTACAACTATGTCCCACTTTTCTAAACTGCTTTTATTAAACTTGTAATGCATGCCGATTGTCATAAACATTTGAAAAATAATGTGACATTTCTCAATTTAAGTCAACTTATCTGTGATAAACAACATCTACCGAATTGATTAAGCTTTGAAATTCAGGATATACAATTAAATTCTAGTATTTACGTAATAAAAATTTGTTATTTCAAACAGAAACGAATAGATCAGCCCACTTCATAGGTTTTTAGATCACTCTGAACAGTTGTTATGTCAAATTTTTAAAATTAGATTGTTGCTTTATTGTAATTCTGTACACCTTCTGAGCAATTTTTATTCCTAAAACATATTGTTGGGTCATTCAGCAGATTAAAGTCTTCCTGCTGAGCACATTTATTTGATATTTCTAATTATTCTACAATATTTTGAATACTTTGTATTGGGAACTTAAAAACTCAGAAATAAAATCAGAAATAAGCTTGTCGTCTTAATAGTACCCTTCTCTCTATATGTCAAAATCATTTATTCTACTAAATTTCATATATAACTGGTTCAAGGAAGTCTGTCTGTGTAATCCAGAGCAACTGATGAGGTTAGTAGGACTTTCGGTTCGTCACATTAGTTTTATTTATTGAAACAAAATCTTTTGGATAGTTATGAGCGCATTTGGTTACAGAAAATTTATGAAAGACAAGCAAGTTTGAGAATTCTTTTTCCTTCACGTTCCCCAGGGGAACATATGGCTTCAAGCTAGTGGCTTGAAGTTTCTGTAGCAGTGTTTATTTTACAGGATGGGGTTGCTAGCCTTATGTCCAACTTTTCCTCTTTACCAGCATTATTTCTGGTTTCGCGAGGCAAAGGAGTGCGTCGACCGCGGATCGAACCCAGGACCATGTGCATGGTCGGCGAGCGTCCTAACCGCTGTGCCACCGACGCAGAGAATCATTGGATTTAAATTCAGATTGATCCAGGCAAACAACGCTTGTTTATTTAGTAAAAGTATGGTATGCAAAAAGTGACCCAACAGGAGCTTTGCAAAATACCGAATGAGGCCGTAATTGTGGAAATCAGTAGAGAAACCGTAGAAACTGTAATATGGAAAGTCGCATATCATTTCTGTTATCTCTTTGAAGCTCTGCTACATAACATTAACTTTTAATCCAACGAGAAGCAATATCGGTACTGTTTACTGTTTTGTGCAACATTATAATAACAGAAGGTATTAGGAATAACTTTAAAATACTTAAAGTTGCACTTCTGAAATCCATTAGTTGTTTTTAACTGTCGCTTAGTAAAATTTTCATGAAGAACACATAAAAGCGAACAACATTGCTTTCAGTTAGCTCTCATAAGGCTTTACTCTAGTATACACGCCTTTACAAAAAAGATAGTTTAAATTCGTAATGCTGGATTGTAAAGAAAGTAAATACATTATGTTTTGATGAACATACAAGGAGATAGGGGTTGATAAGTTGGGGATTGAAAATAATCAATATGGGATGATGGTAATATTGTAAGGTGATTAGGTCTTAACTGGCCATTGGAGGCAAACTGCCTGTACAAACTTCTGAAAGTATGGCTTAGGCATATCAGTTCGAATATTAGTCGCCTCAGCTATATGCAATAGACGCGTAATCACTTCTGTCTAACGGTGCTGTGCCATTGCGTTAATCAGGCTTATAAGTGATTTTTCATTCCTTCCAAGTTCCCTTAATGCCTTCCTGTGATGTTTCGATTATAGATTACTTACCGAATGTCTATTATTTTTGTAATATTAGCAGCCGTCGAATGAACTTTGTTAGTCCATTGTCCAATGATGGAATCAAGTCATATGTTTGTGACTACAAATTATCAAATTGGACATTCGTGTCTAGTTGTCTGATTTCACAGTCGTTTATTAGTTAAGGTCTTCTAATTATGAGAAAATTTCACATTCGCATTCATAACCTGGCGCTTGCGTTACCAAAATCATATCCAACAGGCTGCAGACTTTCTTCAACAGCTATTTTCACTCATTACTGAAAATAATAGGGACATCAGGAAAGAATAAGCATTATGGGACTCTGGGAATGCAACAGACCATCTAAAAACCTATTGCTGAATAAATGTGCAGAAGAAAATTGAGGTGGACTGCACATTGACTCAAGAGACAATTGAGTAACATCACATGCTGATCCCTCGAAGGTAATCTAGCTGGAATTTGATGAGTTAAGCTTCCGAGACTAACACTGAAGAAAAAATGAATACCTACAGGAAGTCCCATAGTCAGCTGAAAGCGGTGCAGGGAAAACAGTGCGATAGAGACATACTGCTGAAACAATACTGTCAACTCGGAAAGAAAAGACATTATAGTTACAATTATTATTATTATCATCACTATTTGACTAAAAAGTTAAATTATATTCAAAAAATCTAAAAATAAAATTAATCTCCAAGTATGTTTGAATAAATAGTGAATAAACAAATGAATTCATATAAACTATCTTTAATTTCAGACATTACACGCCGTTTCAATCTACGTAGATTTATTTAATCTGTATTCAAAAGAATGTTATCTACGAAATTATTCAACAAAGAGTCTGATAAGGTATTCTAAATTTTGACTTGTATGCGCTTAATAGTTTAGCTGATTGTTATGTCTCATGCATATGTAACTGTCAAAAATGGATCTGCATTAGTTGAGTTCAAAAAAGTGTAAATATCAATTGTAAATCAAATTGTATTTCTTGTTCTACGTTATAGTACTAATCTGCGGAATACTGATACAAGTTAAAACTGGAAATCAAAATCTTTGAGGATTCAATAGTACAATAATAAAAATTAATAACACGTCTGAATGCTTTCCTTCTAGTTCCTTAAAGACAAGTTGATTGTTTTCTAACTAAATCCCAATTTATTACATTATAGGATTCCAGTGACAGTAATACGACATATGTAATCCATAAAAGTATTAACGAAATTCCTGATATCAGTTTTGAACACATTGGCCCACCTAATTCCCCATCATAAATCTGTAAAAAGAGAAGGAAATACATAATGTTGATCAAAGATTATAGCTCATAGTACCGACATGATATAATATCACTTACAGGTTTCTACAATAGATCATCAGCTCTTCATGGGATTTGAGGATTTGTGGTTATGGTCCAATCGTTTCATCTTATTTCTGGTAAGTTAAATAACGTTTTTGGTCACATATTTAGAAATGACTCAGACGTACTGATGCTACAGTTACTCCTCTTTGCCTATATTTATTTATACGTACACGTTGTCTGTTAAACACATCAAGAACTGATCCACTTACTGACACAGTTAAGTACATGTTGAAACACGAGTTATATCTTGATAGCTATCATGATATCAGTCAGAATAATGATGGTTGTATAACTGATATCAAACCGTGTTCAAACTTGAAACGAAGCAAATCGCTACAAATTAGCCCTTTAAAATTGATCCAATGATCGCTAGAAACTAGCTATACGACAGGGTTTCCTAGAGTTTCAGTGAGCAGTTGTGATCAGCAGGATCCATCCAATGAAGACATCTGGAGTTAGAGCAAATACTCGCTGATAACATTCGCTGGTGGTTGCGCAAACACCATGAATTATTAGAAGCTAGAATTCATGGGCTATTGAATTGAATCCCAGTCACTGAATGGTCTGCGAAATTGTCTTGTACTCGTAAGGTCCTGGATTCGAAATCCATTGGGTGCAGACTTGTGAAGAGCCTCAAACTAGGGTGAAACAGCTTCTCTAAATGGTATCAGTTCATGAATAAACATAAAACAATGAGGAAATCTGATTTACTTCCGTAAGGTGATATGTTGAGAACAGGTTTTTAAATCCTGAATACTTCGCTGGTTTTAAATCCTTACTATTTTCACTAATATTACCAAGTGTCAATGAACAATTATTATGTCTCTAGATTCCCGTTTTTATTTTTTCTGCAAATACTACCAATGTGTATAAAAATATGTTTACTCCATTTTGCACATATAAGTAAATAAAAAGGCTTCATTTTTGGGGCCTGCTGACGTCAGCCACTAGTCTGTCTGTCTGTCTTCGACACAGAACTTTGCACATATGTGCGGCAGTTCAAGTCGCCACACTCTATGTAGCACATAGAGCAAGAGAAGAAAGCAGGAGAAATGCATATTAGAGACAGTAAACAGAGGTGCGAAACAAAGTAATGGTAATAACGAAGAACATAATAGTTTCATTGGAAATCATAAGTCACATGGAGTGGATGCATCTGCGCCACTGAGAACGATTTTGAGCCATGTCACAAATTGTTTCCAACCATTGGTTTTTACCGTCCCGACGACCCCAACCAGTAAGTCTACACCTTCCAACGTGGCTTAGATTAACTGTTGTGGATTTCACTGATCGGTGCCATGTTTGGGTTTGACCACCGCTAGCTCTTTTCCAGCCTGGCCCTATGTCAGCCAGGAAGGCAGTGACAAGGCATACGTAACACATATCCCAACCATCTCAGTCGATGTAATGTCACAGCCTCGTCGACTGATTTCCCCGCCTTACCTAGCACTCGAAGCCACTAGTAAGGCGTACCACAGAAAGAAGATCATCATAGTAAGCGCTAAATGGCCTTATGTTTCAACATGCGTTTATGCATCGTGTAAAGGATTACGTCAAACATCAGTATGTTCATCAGTTCACTTATGTATTTGAACGTATTTTGAGGTAATTGTTACATTTTATTTTTGGTTTATTGAAACGTATAAATAAATAGCTTCACAAAAAGCTTGCATCTGTCAATCATCGAATAATTGATGGTGATAGATATCCGTTTTTATTTGCAGTGAAACAGCTATTGGAAACTCGTTATTGTAAGACTAATTCGTTATCTGTCTTTCTAATAATGCGACGCCAATTTCACCCTGAATAAATATTTTTGTTTGAATGTGACAAAATGTAAGGATCATTACAATGTAAATAAATAAACTGAAGCTACTACTAAAATAACTCAGAATAAAGTAGTATTCATTTCAGCTTATAAAATATCGTAAACGTTAAATAATTCACTATACAATGTGATTTAGGCATGTTTTTACTTAATTTCGAAATAGCGTAATGAATTTTTAGTGATCTTAATAGGTTTAAGTTCTATTCTGTTCAAATCTCGCGCCTGACATTTGTCGATAAGGAGAAGTAAACAAATTGACAACTTAAGTAGTGACGTGGTAAACATTTACATAGAATATATATATGCATGGTTGGTTGTTGAGATTAAGAATAGATGTTGGCTTAATATAATAATGTTTACTTATGAAGCATGCAACCGTGAAATCTGTGCACGGGATTAATTTGAAATCTATAGATCAGATGGACACGTTAATGATGGAAAATCATTTCAAAGTGATAATACGTTAAAATGATCTCCAAAGATATTTGATACTTTTAACTCTCTATGACAGTTACTCATGACAGTTTTTGGCCATTACATTATTATTATTGTTCCCTTGGGCTCCGAGTGGAATATAGAGGTTCAACAACACATCTCCACTTTGTCCTATCTTCTGCCATCCTCTTCAGCTGAGTTCACGATGGCCATACTCTCACATCTCCTACAACTCTGATGACCTCCTCCATGTCACCCTAGGACAACCCACTCGTCACTTCCCATTCGGATTCCACTCGAGTGATGGCCTGGTTCGAGATGTCATTCGACGGTCTCCTCATGGTATACCCAACCCATCTCCATTTTCTCCTACATATTTGTTTAGTGGTCGCCTCTTGGTAAGTTCATTCCCACAGTTTTTGGCCATTATTTTTCTTATTAACTCTAAATTTGTTGGTGAACTACATCAGGGTTAACAGAATATCTGATTCCGATGAATTCATTCTTAGATAACAGGAACAGTATATTATTTAGTCTGCTTCATACAAATAGGAAACGTATTTTGTCATCAGAATGTAGCCTCTAATGCAGTACTTCATCTAACAAGGGTAGTGTTTCCATGTCATGTCTTATGAGAATGGAAATATTGCTGCAGGGCTTCATGGACCGTCAAAAGTTACATGAATCTAAGCTTTGGTAAGAGCATAAATTAGGAAACATAGAAACAACTAAACCAAAAGATTTATTTAACCCAGTCCATGATCACTTCCCAGAGTTTGTCAGCCGCTATTAAGATGGTTGCAAAGTATTCTACTGTTTGGTTTTCTGGTTTGAAGTTGTGTTGCATCTTTCTGCTTCCCTCTTCTGGTGCTTTTTATGAACTTCTTTAAACTTAATAATGCCGTAATGTAAACCTCAGGTGATGGTTACTTAGTGTCAAGTTCTCACCCCAGAATGTATACTTTCGACCAATTTACCAAATACAACTTTTATTTATTGAAGCTAAGATTGGATAATAAAAGCATATACGCAATGACTGATGTAAGTGAATCCAGGAATGTGAAGAAGTTGTCATCATGAATTCTATTCTGAATCATATATTCAAAGAAGCAAAGATATCTGTGTGATTTAAATCACTTTTTAGGTATAAATGAGAGTACAAAATTAATAAACATTATCCATAGACGTGCGTCGGTGACACAGTGGTAGAATGCTTACCAACCACGCATGTGGTCCGGAGTTCGACCCCGCGCCGACGCACTCCTTTACCTTGAAAAGCTAGTAATAAGACTGCTAAAGAGGGAAAGTTGGGCATGAGGTTGGCAACCCCATCCCGTAAAAATAAACACCACTGCTACCGAAACTTCAAGCCTCTATCTTCAAGCCCCATCTTCCACTGGAAACGTAAAGGAATAAAAGAAAATGCATAGACATGTTTGATTTCCTAACAATCAATAATATACATTAAATATGGTGATGGTTTTATGTTTTTCCTATGTTTATTCTTCTCATTAAAAAACTACTTATATCTATGTTTGAGTAGCACCTTTCTCGAAATAATCTAAGTTGGTGATGTGTCTTGAGAAAAAAGTTGACGTATGTGAATTTGAATTTCGTAAGTCAAACAGAAATAATTCAAGTGGATCAATGTATTTTGTTTCTGACATTATAACAAAACTAAAAACCTCATCAAATTTAAAACTGCTTATACTTTACTTTCTAAAAGTGTGTACTAACTGAAAAATAAATAGAATACTTTAGTAATAGTAGTCAACTTCATAAACAGTTCATTGTTCGCTACTTCATTTAAATTATGTTTGCAAACTTCCACCGTTGTCCGATAAGAATTAGTTGTCATTGAACTGACATGGAAGTTACCTGTTGAGGCGTAGGCTTGAAAGCACCATTTTTTAAAATAAAATCGGGATCAATAACTGACAGTGAAGGGGCAGTGGCACTACATTCCTGACAGAGTGTCAACCAAGTTAACAGCGTTCTTTTGAATACCACTTGTAATATTAGGAGATGGAATCATTTATGAGGTTCAAGGTTACTGAATTACAAGAATAAAGAACATTTTAACTCTTGTCCTGCTTTTTGCGTTTTCTAGACAACATCTTCAGAGCTGAATCATTTCTGAATTAAACTATCCAGCTATTTGAATCCTGTGACACCAAAAATTACAAGTTCAATTAAACGCAAAATGCTCTTAGTACAACTGTACAATAAGATAAAAGGAACCGTATGACTTTGCGAGCCGAATACTTGCAGGGAAAGCCTACTTTTTTCTAGCTGGCAGTTCTTCACTGATGGATAGGATGATATTCATAAATCGCCCTTGAACAGCAGACAACTAGAATGTCAAAATACTTAGGGGATTTTAAACCTTCTATCCCTTTTATATCACTGCTAATTGAAACGAATTTAACTGAGAATGAATGACTTCTTTTACTGAGTTTAAAAAACTGCTTTTGAGATTGATTCTGAACTAGATTCAGTAAGAGAAGCATTGAAGATCAGAGAGTACTGCATGCCTGTTCTGTCCTAATTTGGGCCTCTTTAGCAGTATACACTCATGACCATAACAGGAATCGAACAGAGAACCTTCAGGTTACAAGATGAGGTCTTAGACACTTCATCCACTGGCCTATCA